TTAAGGTGTATTATGAACAATACCTCTCCAGTTGATTGACATAAATCAGGTCAAATTATCTGTTGCTAAACTGAAAGTGAAATTATAAATAGTGATGCAGAACAGCTAGAAATATTCAGGAGCTTTCCCTGCTCTGTTTTTTAACCTTTCTATGATATTATAGATAGTATACATTTATTCATTATAGTCAAAGTGGAATGTGGGGAGAACCAGCTAGAAATAAGTATGTTTTAACCAGCAGTTCTGGAATTCTAATAGATAAATAAATCTAGCATTTTAATTCTGAGCCATTAATTAAATATTATGGAGTGTTGGAGACTGGTGAAGCTCTGTAACAGTGCAGAAGTGCCATCATAATACAAATATTTAAAAGTAGTATAAGGGACTATTCAACACTCAAGAGAATAGCTACTTTTGCATAAGTCTTGGCAACAGAGTAGAACAGTTTGGATGCCATCAACAAAAGGTTAGAGACAAAGAGCATATTATTGTCAGTCAAGATGGTTTTATGGAAATGTGTTTTGTCAAACAAAACTGTCATCACTTGACAAGATCACAGATCTGGCTGATAAAGAGAGCAGAATGAATATAGCATACTTGAATTTCTCAAAGGCATTTGTTCTTATCACTCTAACATCTTGATGGGGGGAACCAATGAAACTTGGCTCTAAGAGGTTATATATTAGATGGATTAAAATCTGGCTTCATAACAGATTTAAAAGTTGCTGTTGGGAAGAAAGCAGGGTGTCTGTTTCCTGACAAGGTACCTCAAGAATCTGTTTGCTTTATATTATTCAGCATTTTAGCAGTGTTCTGAAATGTTATTTAAATTATTTACCAGCAAATAATATTGTGATTATACTACCGCATTATTACATAATAATCTGAATTATCCAAGTCATCGCATTTGAACATTTTCTACAGATAAATATTAACATAGTATATGTAGGAGTAGAGAATATTGCCTATACCTATTCCAAGAAACTCCTGAAAATGAATAACTTAGAGCAGGAATTATGAAAGTGAGTACCTATCTTGATACAGGTTTTTACTGAAGTGATGTGCAAAAAGTTTCTGCTATGAACACAGGGACTCTGCTAAAAATGGGAATAGCAGGTAAACATGCAGATGTAGTTTTACCTCTGTATGCAACACTGGTAAGAGTGCTATATTACTATGTCCAGCTTTGGGCTTTCTACTCCAGAATCAATATGACAACATTGGAGGAACTTCAGAGAAGGGCATAAAAATGATCCTTAGCTGGAAATGGATTTGAAGACATTGATATATTCCACTTATTTCTCAGTAGTCTAAAAGTTGACTTAATATATACACATAACTCTAGATTAGAACATGATGCCCTGGTAGGGGAAATTTTCAACCTTCTTTGCAATAACACAATGAAATAGGCAAGTTTACTCTAAGAAAGATGCAATATTTAAGTGAAGGTATTTTCAGACAATTTGCTAGAGAGTGTGGTGTACTTGCCCTCACTTCTGATGTTTTGACATTTTAAAATTATCTTACTAAAAAGCATACTTAAAATTAATTTCTATAAAGCTGTGTTAAAATTGAAAGAGATCATGCTAAATGAAGCCTGCAGGCATTAAAACATGTGAAAAGACCTGGGGAAGCATGCTGATTTCACTGAGTTTGTTATCAAGGCTTTGTCTAATGGCAACATCCTAAATGTGTTGAAGGAGAGTGTGAGGCAAAATGTAAAGTCATGATTTGGAGGGAGGAAGAGAAACTGAAGTAATAAGGAGAGAGGTATTAGTGAGATAAGAGAAGAAAACCCCAAACTGTTCAAAATGTCTGGAGAAAAGGCTAAGAAGAAAAGAGATGTTAGAGAATGAATCACTCCAAACAGATGCCCCAGTTTTAGCTTTTTTTTTTTTTTTTTTTTTTTTTTTTTTTTTTTTTTTTTTTTGTTTGTTTTGTTTGTTTGTTTTTTGGATTCTCTGTAAGCTCTAATGGCCATAACTTAAAAAAAAAAAAGTTAAGCCAATTATTTGTGTCTTGGGAACTTCACCAGCTAATTGAAACTATGCTTATCCTGCAGAGCAAATCACACAAGTGACTACAAAACAGCTTGAGATGCAAGTGTGTTTACTGGCCTATGCATGCTTTTGTGTGTGTGCACACAATTTTCAAGTGATGTGAAAAATGGTGCTTTGTATCAGTGGGGATGAAGGGTGCAACCAGGCAGTCCTTGAAGAAAGGTTTGTCAGTTTGTATATTTCATTTATTGTGAGTAGCTATTCCTTCCACCTTTTTTCCCTAGCAAATCTTTGTAACAGTAAAGTTGAAAGACAAGCTGAAAATCACATTCATATGCATGAAAAGCTTTTGAAGCAGAAAATTTTTTTCAAATTTAAACCATGAGGACTGTAATAGAAAAAGACGAAAGCACTTTTCATCTACATTTCAACTCGCCTTGCTATGCTAAGGTTCTTTGTGCATTTGTAACCAGCTACATGCCAAAGCCAGCTGTTCTGGAGGGAACTGAAGTGTGCCAGACTTTCCCTCTAATTTGAACATGTGGAACATCTTCATGTCTCAGCAAAGGCATGTCTGATAGGCAAAACAGCGTGTCTCAAGGAAAAGACTAAAGGAAGTGGTGGCTGGTATGCTTCAATCCCTCATCAAAAATATTTTCTGATAGGTGTAAGGCAATGCCATAATAAGCCTCTGGAGAAAAACAGCTGCTGCTGAAAGTATCTGCACAAGATCTTCTGTGAGTCTTTAGCTTGGAGTTGTCCAGGTGTACGGCCTTACTGCCATATCAGGGACTGTTGCAACCATTTCCTGATGCAGTTAGCTTTTTGCTTCGTTTCCATCTTCCCTCAAGATCACAGAATCTTAGAAAAGATTAGAAGGGTTAGAAGGGATTTCTAAGCATATTCTCACCCAATATCCCACTGAGAGTAGGATTGCTGGTACTGATAGCCAGGTCAGCTATCAGTGGTTTTATTTAGATGCAGCTCGGAGATTCCCTAATCCTTCTGGGTTATATTTTCCAATGCTACACTACTCTCCTGGTGAAGAAACTTTTCCTCATGTTCGCTGTGATCTTCCCAAGATGCTAAAAGCTGTGGCTTTTGTTCCTTGCTAAATTTCTGAAGTTAATAAAATGTGCTACTTGCTGTTTTTTCTGGAGCAAAATTTCCTTCCAGTGCACTGCCAGGGCTTCACCTTCTAAAATGACTCTTTATGAGCATTAATGGGCAGTTTAAGTCTCTGTGGTCCATTCTGTGTGCTGGCAAGTCTTCTGAGAATGCAGCAGTATGGCCCCTTTCCATTGTTAAATGATTCTATAATATCTATGGGCATCAATTTGACAGGAGATTACTATTGAAAGAAACGACTGTAATACAAGTCATAATCAGAGCCATTGCACCTCCACTGTTAATTTAGCTCACTTTGCATTAGATATTCACTGAACTGGTTAAGATAACTTCAGTCATTTAATCACTGCGGTGTTATTAAATAGTTGCATAGTAATGTGTTCAGATGACTTGTAAACCTCATGCAATCAGAGGCCAGTTGGGCAATCAAAGCAGGTTAAAAGGAAAAGGCAATTCTGTCTTGCTGGCTTTAGCTATTCTATGTTAAAGTAAATGAAGCATGTTTTAATCATGGTGGGGTGGTAGATGTCTTTGTTTTGGCCACAATATAAATGAACCCAAGTATGTTTCTGATGTCCTTTTCCTTTTTTCTTTTTTTTTAAAATCTATTTGTGGTGGGGGTTGTTTAACCCTAAAATCGTTACATGAAAGATGACAGGAGATTCAGAGATAGCTTATATAGTTTTTCCAAACTAGTGTTTCTGGTCTGGTGAGAACATAATGCTAATTTTACAAGAAAAACAGGATTAAATTTATTTTTAAGTTTTGTTTACCTTCAGTTGCATTTTTAAATCGACTTCATGATACTTCCTGAGCATAACACTTGATCTCTATTTGAGAAATACCACATGCTTGGTGGCATTCAGTGACAAGAGTGAATGGTAGGTGATGGAAAAGCTGAGCAGAAGGAGTTAGAAGTGTTTGTATGTGACACATCACAGGAGGTTCTTGTGTTAGTTTGGTATAGGACTAACTGTATTCCATCTTGCTTTGTACAGTAGAAGCCTTGGCTTATTGTGCATTTTACTAAAAAGGGAAGAATGTGAAATACGCAGTCTCCTTCACTATTGCAATAAGCAGAATTGCTATAGGATAGATATTTATCTTCGGGTTGCACAGTCTTGTCAAATCAGACTAATATTACATTATCAGTCAGATGTATCATCCATATGTCTGCCCATGCTTGCAAAGATGCAATGTGGAACAGAACTAATGGGCTTCATCCTTCTTCTGATAAATCCATTTCCAGGGCAAGAAGTGCCTGTGCATTTTTCAAAACTTCTTAAGAGCTGCTACCCCCATATAGTGTTTGGTCTTTTCCCTTTCAATCACTGATGAACTGCCTCCCCAGCTTGTTTTGGTGTGGTGCTGGTGGGGGAAAGGGAATGAAGTGCCGCCTTCTTTTTCCTTCTAACGAGCAAAATTCTTGACCATTTCAGTTTATTAAATATTCAATGGCACTTTTCCAGGGAGTGGTTTGTAGCCCATGTGTTTTCTCCAAATGTCTTGTGAAACTTCCCTTGTGATTTCAAATTAATATGGCTTTTTTTTTGGTCATGCTGAAATGTAATTTAATACTGTCTTTTACAGTTGTGCTCAGAGATGGCTGGATTTCAATATTAAGTGAACTGCACACTGGTGCTTATATAAATTATAAAACATGCTGAGATCTCCAGGGAAAGAGAATCATTAAAAATAGGGACTATTGCTGCTATTACTGTTGTTACTAGGAGTAATTATTACCTTTTTATTTCTGGAAATTCTATACAGCATTTTTCCTATAGGAGCTCTCCCTGTCTTGAGGTTTTTCTAGTGGTCTTTAAACTTTAATCTGCAGCCTTAGAAAACCTTTTAGGTACAGACTGAGACAGATTTTGTTACCAAAGGAAGCCCTCCTGCTGATGGAGCTCTGTGTTTAATTCTTGGCAGAGCTCAGGAAGCACTTGGCTTTGTTTGCCCGCTGTTGGTCTTTTTCACGTAGCCTTATGTGAGATCGTGATAATTCTGAATTGCAGCTCAAAGGAAAGAGAAACACAGTGTATTACAAGAATACTGCAAATAAATTATTCTATTTGGTTTAAAAGCTTGCAAGAATTACACAGAATATTCTGAACTGGAAGGGACTCACAAGAATCATCAGGTCCAACTCTTAAATGTATGGCCCATATAGGGCTCAAAACCACAATCTTGGCATTATTAACACCATGCTCTAGCTAACTGAGCTAGTTTCTTAGCTTGATAAGCTTTTTTAGACCTGTATAAATGATGCAGTTCCTTTTAGCAGCAGGACTAAAATGGTGATAATGTGGTCAGCTATTCAGTGAGGTTAGTGAGATGCACATCTACACTCTTAAAAATGCATTTTGGAAGAAATGAAGGAAGCATTACACCAACAACTGTAGCACTGACATCTTTGTTTTCTTTGCATTTGTGTGTTATAGTTTTTCATTACTTATTGAATACACTCTTATTGTGATACTGCCTGCCTCTTTGTAACAGGAACTGAATACAGCAGCAAACTAGTTTTGCTGTGGCTTATTGACAGTTTGAAACTAACAAAGATCCACTGATATAAGTGGATTTATATTAACTTATAGATATAAGGGTTTGCTCACTAATTCTGTTTCTTTCAGTTCAGTGTGTCCTCCTGTGCCCCATGCATTATAATCTTGCAAACGATTATTTAAATCAATCCAATCTGTGTCAAACGCTGGACATCTAAATGTGGACATTTATCTTAGGCTAGTTTCCCCAGGTTTCATAGTGATAGCAATGGGTTCTTTCAGGATGCAGCTAAGGACAATGTCATTTAAGCTGTAGCTATAAATTGTCTTTTTAATGCTCGTATTGCTGTCTCTGAATGATATGAGGCGATTAACCTTCTAATTTAGGCACCCAAAATCACATTATATGAAACCTACTTGCTTTTGGCATCTCTCACCATACTCTGCAGTATCTGGATACATGTTGAATGCTAACGATCCCATGTGCCGCTACCCAGAGATGACTTGCCATTATGACAGAAACGTACTGTTATCAAGCAATGATGACTCGGGAGTGTCCCTGTAAGATGTCACAGTGTTGCATGACAACATCAGTTGTGGTCTTCTGGCACAGTCACTAAGCAGGTTCTTGTGACATGATACAGCCACACTATCAGATGGTCTTCTGTATCTCATGATAGGAGTGGAACCGTGCAGCCACTGGCCAATAACAATGTAGTTTGACACTAATGGATGAAGCTTTTTATATTGCGATGCTTGCTTATAATATTCTACTGTGTTGAATTTATTCACCTTGTGTGCCTTATGCAACAAGGCCATGATCCCAGATGAAGTCTGTGTAACAAGGAGTAAGAATGAAGTACAGTACCCGTTATTTACACCTTCCCTTCATTTGAAGCAATTTAATTTCTGCACAGAAGCGTTTAATAGGCTACTAAAATAGCTCTGAATTTGTGAGATGAAAACACAAGCACAAAATCCAACTACAGCAAGCTCTCTGGAAATTATTTTCATTCCATTTTAAATGCACTGCTGATGCCCAGCTGGGTGGAAGAGGAACCTGATATGTACAAACATGGTAGATTCGTGATAGGTGACAGTTTATAATCGGAAGTCCAAAAGATGCGTACTATATCAAGTGGTGGGAAGAGAAGTGCTTTTTGCTTCTGTATGCATTATTAAGGATAATAACCATTTGGTAGGTGGAGAACTGGAAGAAACTTTACTTAGTGACTCTTTGTCTTTAATACCTTCTCTTTATAACAAATCTTTAAGTTGAAATATTTGAAGTTAATAAAAAGCTGGAAATTGTTTCAGCTTGGTTGTAAGCGCCCAGTTAATTTTACAGTGGAATCATGGATGGTTTGTTAGTCCTTTTTATCACTAGCATACCTTCTTGTATTAAAAGTGAGAATCAGATTACCTGGTTATTACCTTTGGTTCCTGACTGAAGGATTTCAGAGTATGATGTCTGTCCATAGAGCTAAGGTGGGATGCCCTGGTCAAAGAATCACTGACATCAGAGACTACAAGTAGCTTAGAGGCAGGGGGCACTGAAGGTTCATCCATTCATTAGTTCATTCACTGTGCTGCAGAGACAGAAGAAGTTTTCATTGCACTGTTACAGCCTGGGGGCCAACCTGCTGGAAAGCAGCTCTGTGGAGAAAGATCTGGCGGCCCTTGTGGACAACAAGCTGTGCATGAGCCAGCAGTGTTCATGCTTGGCCCTGCTGGCCAAGAAGGCCAATAGTACCCTGGGCTGTATCAGTAACTACATTGCCAGAAGGCTGAGGGAGGTGATCCTACCTCTCTGCTTAGCCCTAGGGAACTTGCATCTGGAGTGCATCTGGAGTGCATCCAGTTCTGGGCTCCTCAGTACAAGGGAGTCATGGAGCACCTGGAGTGGCTTCAGTGGAGGGGAACAAAGATGATTAAGGGACTGGAGCATCTCTCTTATGAGGAAAGGCTGAGGGAGCTGGGCCTGTTCATCCTGGAGAAGAAATGACTGAGAGGGGGCTTAATTGATGTATATAAGTATCTGAAAGGAGGGTAACAAGAGGATGGAGCCAGGCTCTTCTCAGTTGGTGCCAAGCAATAGGACAAGAGGCAACAGGCAGAAACTGATGCACAGGAAGTTCCACCTGAATATGAGGAAGAACTTCTTTACTGAGCACTGAAACAGGTTGCTCAGAGAGGTTGTGGAGTCTCCCTTATTGGAGATGTTCAAGAACTGTCTGGATGCAATCCTGTGCAATGTGCTCTAGGATGACCCTGCTTGAGTAGGGAGGCTGGACCAGGTAACCCACTGTGGTCCCAGGTAACCCACTGTGGTCCCTTTCAACCTGACCCATTCTGTGATTCTGTGATTCTGTGATTCTGTGATTCTGTGAATTCTACTCAGTTGGAAATTCTTGGAAGAAAAAGTGGTGTTTACAAGAGTATGTATTTGTCTATGTTTTAGATCTGGATCTGGATTTTTGATTATTTGCTCCCTAAACACAAAGTTTTAAGGTTAGTTGAATTTAACCTGTTAAGTGTAGAAACTTACTGAAAAATTCAGAAGCAGGGTGATTTGGTACAAATCTGAATAGTAATACAAAGTCTGGATCTTGGTTCACACCTGAAATTTTTTCTCTGACCAGTTTCTGTTTCTGAAGCTATGAAGTTCCCAAGCAATGGACTATCACTGCTGTTTTGAGAGGGTTTGTTCCACTGTCATGTTTTCATTCCCATTGAGTAATGGTGTCCTCCCTTTCCAAACTTCCCAAGCACTTCCATCTAAGAGGCAAGACTCTTCCTCACTTTTTTTTTCTGCTAGTGTGACTGGGAGTACTTAAGCACCCATCACACTCCACACAGCGGAACTGCAGGGTAAAGTTATCCATTGATCCATCTGCCTACCCTCCTGTCTGCGGGGGACTTATAAGCTTTTATGGAGAAAATAGTATCACTAAGAAAACTAGATTTATTGATTTTTTTTTTCTCTTTTGGGATCAGCAGTCTCCCCCAGTTGGAGATATGACATGCTTGACTTTAATAAACTCATTCCTTCTGTCTGTCTCCCTCTAGTTTCTGAAGTACAGCTTCATATTTTGGTCGTTTCTGTCCCAGTGGTGCATCTGCTTCCATTTTTGCTTCCACTGCTTTTATGATTCTTCCTGAAGTGTCTGTTGATGTGACATTGGCTCAGTTGCCTTTTTCACTGTCCTAGATATAGGCATTTTAGCTGTTTCTAATTAAAGACACAAGCAAACAGCAAAAGATTCCAACAATCACAGCACTGTTATCTCCTCATCACTGGTCTGTCCCTATACCTCCCTCTTACTCAAGCAGTTCTTACTGGCCTTTTCCTCAGCTTATGCACTGTTATCTGATTCATGCAGATAGACTATATGCTGTTCCTAAGAAGTTAATTCCAGTTTTCTGAAAATTCCCCATTTCCCTTACCTACTGTGGTGTGACTTTTTGCCTGTCAGCCACTTCTCCTGTTAAATGTAAAGATGCTCTTCCAGGAGAATCTGTGGATTTCAGTGACCACAGACTCACATGTTTGAAAAAAAAGAGCAAAAAGAAAAAAAGCAGTTGGTCTCTGAGGTACCTAGGACCAAACTCATAACTGGATATAATTGATATAATTTACGGAACAAATAACGATAGCGACAAATGCTGACCATGCATATCAGTTCTCTAACTAATGTAGTAGAGATTACCAAGTTAGGTTGGACCCTACTATTTCAAGTGCCTGATGATCTGTCGAAGGAAAGATGTTATTCAGAATTTGTTGCATATCCTTGGTTTTCTGTATAGTTTTCTCTGTATTAAGTACTGAGCCAGAGCGGGTCAACACTTGTCCTCCAAACACAAAGGAGACGCACAGCCTCTGGTCTATCACTTGTTAGTTTCCTGATGGTTCAGGATAAGACCTCACAGTAACTCAGTGTGTTCTTGTACTGAAAACAGGGTCATGGAGAGTGAATCAGTCACTTCCTCTTTGAAGTCTGTGGTCAAACCTGCCCATAACCTGCCTGGAGAACCACATATCAGTGGTTATTACCACGGAGGTAGATCCTATTCTCCTAATACCTGGATCTCAGCTTTGACATGAGCCTAGAGAGGAAGAATCCATATCGGGAGCTCCATATGTGCAAACCAAATAATGCCTTTTTACAATAACAAATTAGTAATTCTGAAAGCATTGACCTCTTAAACTCTACTGTGCCTCCCTAAGATGTGTATGCAAAGGATCAACCTTCGTCTTCCATATGGATTGTAAGAGTCAGAAGCTTGCTATCCAGCCAGTTAGTGCCTGTTGCTGAGAAGGGCTGTCCTGAGCTGCATTTCTCCCATTTTCTGGTTTCACATACTGTCTACAACCTGCTGCCAAACATGACCATGTTCCTGTGTGCCCGAGAGTTAATGGAAGCACACTCAGCAACATACAAAACACATTTAGACTCATAAAACATAAATAATACCATTTGGTGGTGACATGCTTTTTTTAATGGATGGATCAGTCATATTTCCATGCCATTATCTAAAGTCCCTGCCGGATACTCATTGGCTAAAGGCAACTAATGAAATACATTTTATCTTAAAAACCCTTCAAAACCTCCGAAAACTTTCCAGTTGTCTTTGAAAGCTGGTTCTCACCGAAATGAAAGGACCTCTTTGTCTACCCAGAAATATCCCTTCTGCTGCCTCTTCAGAGCCAGCCACACACAATTGTTTGCACTGTATGAGTAAGGGCAGGACATTTCAGGGAAAAGAACTCAGCAACACTTCCAGTTGATACTGTGACCCTTTTAAACAGGGACAGACGTTCCTCCCTCGACCCTACTGGGCCCTACAAAGGGAAAATGGGGTAAATAGAACCCTTTTACAGGTTCTAGGTTAGAATGGGCACTGCATTCCCAAGGTAATTAAAGCCAGTGGCACAAAATAAAGCACTAATTTGTTTAGTTGAATACAACAGGACAGAGTTTGCCCTTCAGTTAAGTGCATTTGACTGTAAAACTAGACCAACACAAAGAAGGTTAGAAGGAATACATTCATAGAGTTATATGAGCCTTTTGAGCACTATGCATTTCTGAGCAATTTTAATAGCAGTTCAAAGTTAGTTACTTAGTTGCTGAACTTAAATTTCTCTTTCCCCCAGAAAATGTTTCTGTGTATGTGGACCTTCAGATAATTCAGATTATGATGCCAGTATCTATTCATGTGGCTTAATTTGTGGTCTGGTCACAAGCACCAGCCTGTGGCATCCGTCTCACTGATACTCAGCCCAAGTCTCCTGGTCTTGTTTCTTTATTGTGTAAAAATTATAGAGCAGTTATCTGCATGTTACTTTGAAATTGAATCCTAAAATGTGGCTATTGCAATTGGGAACTCAGAATTCCATTACTCTCACTGTAGAGCCTCTGTTTGTACATCTTCATGACCATCTTTCTTCCTATATATGTT